TCCAGTGATACCTATTCATCTTTTTTCAGTATCTTCCCAGGTATTGATGTTAGGTCTGTAGTTTTTTCCTTTTTTGAAGATGGGAATCACATCAGCTCTTTTCCAATCCTCTGGTAGTTCCCCAGTGCTCCAGGATTTTTGAAAGATATGGTACAGTGGTTCTGAAATGACATCTGCCAGCTCCTTCAGAACTCTGGGATGTAACCCATCAGAGTCCCGGTGATTTATGTTCGTCAAGATCAGACAGGCGTTCTCTTACCATTTAGTCATTACTTAGTCATTCTGTAAGCTGTTCTAAGCTGGTGTTTCTCAAACATGAAAACTGGAAGATGTGTGGACTTCCAACTCCCAGAATTCCCCAACCAACAAGATTGAAGTCCACACATCTTCAAGCTGCCAAGTTTGAGAAACACTATTCTAAGCTATTAGGATTGAAAAAGGAAACTTCCTTCAAAAAATAGAAATTGTTTTGGACCACTGTCCCAACGCTCAGAGCCCAGATATAAATGTTCCCGTTGGCCTTGCTGATTGGGACCGAGTTAGGGTTCTCCCCTGGACTTAGCAGTTTTCTGAGCTCTAATACTAGAACCTCTGCCATCTGCCCTGATGCTGATACAAAACAGAAAGGTACCCTTATTTGCATAAGGGCAATACACTAAATGATTTTGTCAAGATGGAATCCCAACAGTTAGCCAGACGGTTTCTGTGAATTCCACGAAAGTAAAAATAAAACGTCTCTTTGCTTTCCTTTCCTAGGTTGTTTGTATTCCCACTGCACAGCCTGATTTCACTTCATAAAGGGCAAGGGAAGTTTACGGAGCAGAGACCTTAGCGTCTACTATATCAAATGGTGAGGTGACCTGAAAGAGAAACATAGTCCTCAGAGGGTGGGGGAGATAGGGGAAAACAAATCCTCCACACACACACCCTCTTAACTATATGGTCTCCTTGCGGGAGTTGGATGTTTTACCCACCCAGATCTGCTTTGTGCTAACATGTGTTTCATATGAAGCTATATTAAGATGAATTTTACCCTACAAATAACTAGATACAGCTATGCAGTAGGAGGGAATTCCTCCAAGATGATGTCAAGTTTCTTAAGCAGCCAAATTAAAAATAGCACATAAAACCTGACCAGTCATTTTGGCTCTTGAATCCAACCAACACATTTGGGAAACATTATCAGGTTTATTGGGAGGAAACGTATCACAGTAAATCTGCTTCTGTTTATATATCATTTTATTATTCATTTTTGACATTTTCCTTTTTTCTTTAACCAGTTCTTCCTTTGCCCCCAGCAAATAAACATTACCCTGAGTTGAAATGCAAAACAGTGAAATTTCCCCCCCCCCCGTGCCACCCCAAAAATCACTTTGAAGCATATACAATGGGAAAACATTGATTTTTTTTGAAAAAAATCCTGACTGCTGAGATAAGCATGATAAATTTTGTGGTAGGCTAAACTGTTGAATAAAAGTAAAATAAATGAAATAAAGCAAAACGGAACAATATGTCGGATGAGAAGAAAATTGGATAAAACAAAGTTTGCATATAACTTGTCAGTAATGTTTGGAGATGACAATTTATTTACTATTGTATTACATCTAATAACCTGAGTTTTGTGCTAATTATGAAGTCTTTTAAAAGAATAAATTGGTGAAAAGGTTAAAAAATAAATATATCAATAGCACAGGAAATGCCATTCCACAAAAGCATACCGTATATTCCACTGTATTGCAGGCATTTAAAATAAAAATATCAAAACCTATATTCTTAGAAGAGTATTCCTTTATACAGTTTCAAAGGGCTGATTCAATTCCAAAAATTCAAATTGATTTTCAAATCAGATCAGATCCCTTTGAAGAGATTCAAAGGCAAACCAGGTGAACATTCTGGTGCTTTCTGATTTTGCAAAATGTCTGTCAAGAGTATAGCTTTCTTTCTATATTTGAAAGGTTGAATGGCATAATAGGCTCTTTGATATTGGTATGAGTAGCTAGCCAATTAATTTTCTCATCTCCATTAATTTATCCAGTGCTTTTTTTGTAAAAAAAAAAAAAAAAAAAAGGTGCCAGAACTCACACGTCATACAACCCGCCTTGCCTACCCTACAGGGTTCCATCCAAAAAAGGTGCCGGAACTCAGTTCTGGGCGTTCCATGACAAAAAAAGCCCTGAATTTATCTGTAAGAGCACCTGGGACAGTGCTGCTTTGCTGCTTATGTCTCTCAGTATTCTGTTAGGATTTGTTTAGGCAGGTTCACTTGGAGAAAGAAACACCTGGATTTTATTTATTTTTATTTTTATCTCACCTCTGTTACTTTGTAAGTAATTCAAGGCAGCAAACAAACCCAATCCTCCTCCTTCCTCCTATTTTCCCCACAACAAACCTGTAAGGTGGGTTGGGCTAAGAGTGAGTGACTGGCCCAAGGTCACCTAGTTGGCTTTCATGGGGAAAGTGGACTAGAACTCAGTCACCTGATTTCTAGGCTGGTGCCTTAAATACTATACCAGGAGTCCTCAAAATTGGTCACTTTAAGAGTTGTGGACTTCAGCATGGCTGGCTGAGGAATTCTGGGAGTTGAAGTCCTCAAGTCTTAAAGTGGCCAAGTTTGAGGACCCCTGTAGTTTACCAAACTGAGTCTCGTTATTTATGATTTTGCTTTTTAAAAATCTGGTTTGTTCTTTCTACATTTCTTCAATTCAATACTCCTTTATCCTTTTTTTCCTCTAGCCTTCTGTTTATCACAGTGGTTCTCAACCTGTGGGTCGGAACCCCATTTGGGGTCGAACGACCATTTCATGGGGGTCGCCAAACAACGCAGTCTGCCATTTTTTCCCCCTTTTCCTTAGCTGTGCTACTCCCTTTTATTCTATTGGCTTTTGAAAGCCAATAGAATAGACTCTCTTGAATAGAGTCTAATTCTATTGGCTTTCAAAAGCCAATAGGAATTGTCCAGACTGTCTCTGCCCTGCTGAGCCCACCAAAAGTCCCATTCTGCAAACGGTGCTGCACCAGTTGAGTAGTCCTCGACTTACGACCGGCTGAGTAATCCTCGACTTACGACCGGTTGGGGGTTGCATTAAAAAGGTTGAGAACCACTGGTTTATCAGATCTCTAGTACAGATGCTATTAAGCTCTTTTCATCTGTCTGCAATTAGCTTTCAGTACTGAGTTTCAGAACTACATACCAGCTACTACTGAAATCTAGTAGTTGTTTTGGACTTGCTGTTTTCTTAATCCTCTTCAAAGTTCAGTCTAACTTGTGGGGCAAGAGTTTACCACAGCATGTCTAATGACTGCAGGTGGCAGATGGCCTATTTGCTTGAGCTGATAAAGCCCTCCTTATCAATGATGCTATCTGTGGAACCTCCTAAATTGCAAACCTGATCCACCCCCCCCCCATTGAAAGCTCAACATTCTCCCAAGAGGTGAAATGCGACTCATCTGTGCAACTGGACCACACATTACTTGTTTCTGGATTGAGCTTTCAAGTCTCTCCTGAACTTACCCTGCCCAGGTCAATTCAGAACATCCATTGCCTCACCTGGTTACATGAAAAGATGAAGTAACCTTTAACTTTATCTCCATACTAATGACAGGCAGTTATCTTTTCCACAACTGATTTCATAGAACTAGTTAATACTATTATTCATGTATATGTGTGTATTGGTGAGGAACGAATGGAATAGTAAGTAGGACTCTTACCCCAAGTAAGTTATTTCAGAAGGATACAATTCTTGGTAGTATTAAAACTACTCTCAGACTCAATAGTAGAACTATTAGCTTTGAGAAACATCAGGTTGCATTCAACTATGAAGGCAGTTTCTACCCCAGAACTGGATACTGAACTGATATGAAATGGATCTAGAGCAATATCATCTAAGGGCTGAAGTTGGTTTGTAATCACTTACTGGAATATCTAATCCAAGGAAGTGGTGTTAGCAGCTGGCCTGAACGCCTATATGTTTTTTCTGTGTTGGTTTTCTTCAAAAGAATTAATAGTCTAATCTGGAGAGTATCTAGTTCAAGAAGGCTGCTGTAGCACAAGAAAATGCATGTAGCGGACCATAAGTCTCTCCACTCCAGCATTGCCTGCGAAGCATATGCATTCAATCTGTAGGTTTTAAAATCTGCAAATAAAAGATGCTTCTTTGGTGTGTAGTGCACACATGGGATGGCCTTATAATATTCTGAAGCAAATGTAATCTGATCATGATCTCACTACATCCTTTCAGGCTTAGCTATCTAATCTGTCCATTATCCTTTGTAGTACAAGTGAGTGATTAAGACTGTGATTAGGTGCTTCTGCTACTGTAGCCTGGATATCAGGCTAAAATGGTTATGTAACGTGTGTGTGTGTGTGCGCACGCATGTATGTCTTGTCTTAAATTAAGTACGATATCACGCTAAAATGGTTATGTAACACACACACACACACACACGCGTCTTGTCTTAAATTAAGTGCTTCAAAAGCCCCAACTTCTTCTCCTCAAGGTAACAGGCACTGCCAAAAATAGTTAAAAATATAATTTCTATTTGTTGTCTCCTTGACAGGAGTGAGGAGCAAGGGAACAGACCTAGGATATATTATTGGCTTCAGAACCTCTAGAGCAGGGATTGGCAATTCTAGGATGTCTGGGAACCAAGAGAGTTGGCATTACAAATGGCCAGCTTGACCTCTCCTGGAAAATCCCTCCTCCCCATATAGCTCAGCTATATCAGGGCCATGGCTTACTGTTAGCAGAAGCAGAATGGCCCAGCCTGACACTATACGTAAAAAGCACTCCTTTAGAGCAATTCACACTCCTAATAAAAACGGTCATGATTTTATGCTGTGTTTGGATCTTTTATTGCTTTCTGCTTTGCCACAATGGTGAACCACTACAAAATTGCTCTCCAGGTTTTTAAAATTGATTTTTCTTTTTACAAGCAGACCGCTGGAATGTCAACTTAAACAGAACAAATCCATGTGTGCTCAAGTTGCAACAGTAACACAATTGGCTTTTGATTTTTTATTATTATTATTATACAGAAGGCAAATAATTATTCTTTTGGTTTTTTTTTAACAGAACTCCATTGTTAAAACATTAATTCTACAGTACAGTAAAATCTAAATATTCCATTATGAATAAAGGTAATGAAGTGCATCACTCTATTGTAGAGATCTGTATGGACTGTTGCTTTTCCAATGGCAGGAAATATATTACTCTGAAGCTAGTATAGGTGTTCCTCACTTGAGCAGTGAATCTGCTACGAATGGATCCTGGGTTTGGTTGTTGTTTTTTAGATGACACCATCTTCTCTTCTCGATTAAGCTCTGGGGTAACTAGTTCCATGTGAATACAACACAGTCATTTAGATGGTGCAATAACGACCTTTCTTTGCCCATACATACAACACAAGGAAAATAGAAAAAGAGGGATTGTCTACTTAAAATGGGGACAGAGGCAAAGAATGAAGAACTCAGTCTCTGATACATTACGAAACAGATCAAGCATTTGCCCTAAGAAGCAAGGGTCACTTCATGGAGTGGACTATTTCTATGTAAAAATAACCATCCGGATGATATGTTCTTCTAAACCAGAGGTGGTGAACTCTTGGCTCTTTACGTGCTGCTGAGAATTAATCCCAGCACCTTTTTTTGCTGCAGAATAGAAATTGCTAGTGGGTTTTCATGAAACTGAAATCACCAGCTCTTCTGTGAATATTTCTTCAGAGGCAATTCTGCAGTGACCTGACAAGAATTTTTTTTTTTTTTTTTTTTGCTATCCAATAAACAGCCAGGACAGCTGTATCCAGTTCATTTCCTAGTTGATTCTAGTCATAAAAACTCCCTGCCTTGCACATGTGTGCTATGCACATGTTTGGGCATATGAACAATTATCAGAAAGAGGGTAGTGTTAAAGTTGCCAAGGTTGGATATCTCTGTTTAATGCATCAGGCTATACTTATAACTGAATTATTTTAATCATATTGATCTAGTTTGATTTCTGTATGAATACTTCAATATATTAGCTTGATTGCACAATAGGAAAATATTTCATCAAGCCTATACTCTGTGATAAAACGTGCAAGGAATTTTTGAAATCTAATAAAATTACTTTTTGATAAAACTGTCAAATCCAAACTTCCACAAATAGAAAGGGGAGAAAAACTATATATGCTCAACAAGTCACTGCTACAATTGTCTATTTTCCTCCTAGCATTAAGTAGGTGGAAAATGGGGTGCATTCAGAGCCAACTGAATGGTGATGAGATAATTTTTTTTGACATTACTTTGGCCAAGCTAGCTGAACCTACTGCAAGATGTAGTTTGGCAATATCTGAAGCTGACACGCTGAGATTCTTCATTCATGAATTGCTTGCCTAGATGTTGAAGAAGAGCAGGTTGAGCTAGAAGGCGGAGTTAAATGTGTAATCAGTTTGGAGTCATTTTGTTACCACAAGAGATCCAATTTCTGCTCCCCCTCCCCCCATGAATTCCATTGTCTAGTGCCAATTTAGCTTCGACCATTAGTTGACTAGATTCTTATGTATAGGGAGCAATAATAAATTCTTCTGTGCTTTGAACTCAACAAATGCTCCCGGTTATTTGCGTCACAAAGTGGCAGTGGTAAGGATTTCAAATCTACACAATAAACTTCTAAACTCAATAAAAGATATAAAAATAGAGAATTTCCACCTGTCTTAAACAACTTTCAACAAGGCCGGCACCCTAAGTAGCATAACCGTATGAGCTCAAACCAATATTGCCAGAACTGCTCTTGTTCCTGATTTCTAAATTTGTACCAAGAAAGTGATGTTTCCAATTTAGATCCTTTTATCTCCTAATGTTCCGAGTTTCTACAAACATACAAATATTGATTTTAGCTAATCTGCACAAATTTAGTCCAACTTAGACATACATTTAAATCAACTGATTTAAATATATGAATACCATATTCTGTATACTGTACAAAGTGAATGTGTTTTCTGAGAAATCTTACAAGCTGAGCATTTCACAGCTGCAGCTCATCATTTAGAAAAAACATTCAAAAGAGGAACAGGCAAAAAGTTCCTTGTCTAAGGACTGCAATATGAATTAAAACAAAGGTAGTTCCAGCAAGATTCTAGCACCACATTTAAAGATACTAACTAGTTCAAACTGATTAATATGCAAAAATCAACACAATGCTATGCCAAGTGTTTTGAGTTATACAATCTGAATTTAAGGAAATCTGTGACTACCAAGAGCTATATTCCCAAATCACTAGTGTTGGGTAACATAAAACTATCTAGGGAAATTGGCAGCAACTGCAGTGTCATTAAAAACTATTGACTGTTGTTTAGATAGCATGATTTGGCCTCCCCGGAGGGTAAACTCACATTTATTTTTCAGAAGTATTTCTTTCTATTATATATAAATAGAATCTGTGAAAGGAAACAATCATAACAGTTCCAGCAATATCAGCAAACTATCAGATATGAAGTTGCTCAGAAAAGGCAAACATTTTAATTTTACAAGTTGTATTCCTAGGAATAGATATATTAAGAGTTAATCATGCCAAACCAGGTTTCATGAGAGAATCTCTTTCTACCTAAGTTCTCTTCCAATGTCACACATAAAATTATTTTTTTTTTATATTAAAAAACATCTTACTATGTGGCTCATAGTAAGTAGCGTGGAGGAGAGCCACTTCACTTTCAGCATTAGAATGCACAACACAGTTAACAGAGATAACTGAATTACAATTTCAAGTTGCTTGAGTTGTGAAACACCTATTAAATACATCTTTAAAACTGATGTCAAAAATAAAAGCTTCTTAGAGTCCCCCCCCATTTTCTTAGTGAGTTTATTGGATGTTATACAAAGAACTAGGCCTTAAGGAAGGTCTAAATAAAACATGGCACAGATATTAATACCAAAATGCTGTTCGTGGTTAAGGAATCATTGTGATAGGTCATGTTTCAATTTTTCAAGATAGAAGTATGAAGAAGAAAGCAACAAAAAAGTGCCTTATACCACAAAGCGACTCAGTGCTGCTATTGGTATGGTCACAAGCATACATACACGCAGGCAATACTATATACAACAGCATTGTCTCTCATTAGGTTTCTGCACAGTCCTCCATTCTGGCCTGGTTTGAATGTACATCTATCTTGCCTTAATGAGTCAAGAGATGCATAAGACTTGTGCTGCATATATGTCCTTGCACTGCTCCTTCTCTCCTCCAATTGGAAGTCTTTTTTAAGATTGGGGCTTCTTCTGATAATAGGAAGGAAAATGTCCAGGTTTGGACATAAGAAGAAACTATGGCCAATTAATCCCTGAAGCACTGATTATGGTTCACAATGAAAAAAGAGAAGATAATGTAATGAGAGAATGCAAGGGTGCAAGTCTTACACATATTCTATCTTGGCTTAATAAGCTGAGAGTTGTACATCAAAACTCGGCTGGCATTGGTTTACATCCAAAATTCATAGCTCACTTATCTGCCTAAAGGCACAAGGCAAGCATTATGCATATAAATTTAAAAACTTAACAAAATTATTGTATATACATGTGCAGGCCTTGGTGAAAACCCTAATAAATTTGTTAGAAAATAAGTTACCAGTCTCAGAAAGAACTGGCTAACTGCGTTGCTCCACACAACATATGCACTTGGTGTTGCAAAAGTTAAGTGGATGTGGAGACCGAGAGGGTGGGGTTTGCACCAAGATCTTCACAGGCACAGTCAAAAGCTATGACTGTTTAGAGATTATCCCAAAGAGTTACTCTGCATACATCCACAAAAAAAAAAAAAAAAAAAAAAATCCACTTCTCCCCAAAACATAAGCATCTAACATAACAAAAAACAAAGGCACGTAGACACTTTCATTATTTATATATTCAAATTAAAAGGTACCTCTTAAACTTTTTGAATGGTAATACAAGCACATAAACGGATGTCGTGCATTATGAAGTCAGTCATGTTATTGATACCAATCCACACACACACTGCAGCAACAGGAAGAAATCAATTGTTATATCATGTAAATTATGCATCTTTACTAACACCACCACAAACTATTAAATTATGTAAACAAACATCTTCTCTAAATAATTTAAAAGTCCATTTCTCAAAGGGGGGCTTTACTGAAGCATCGCTCGAACTTGCTTTGAAGTGGATTCATCATTCAGGTGTTTTGTGGTGAACCTAAGTGACAAGGAAAAAAAAATCAAAAGGCTGGTATTACGTCCATGAGGAAAGACAATTCTACACATTCCTTCACAAAAGTGCTACTTTGTTCAATAGATCTGACTCCCAGATTTAATCTGTACAGCTTTTGGGCTTAATTATATAATATTTTCCTCCAAGGCCATTTTGGGAATGACTGGTAACTGACACCAAAAGGCACAGAATTAAAATTGGTCAATATAGAAACAATTATAAACGTACAAAACAAATAATAGCATCACCCATCATTATACTTGCATTTTACTATCGCATGTGTAAGATGAGCATGTAATGAGTAACCTTAAGAAATTCATGGATTGAAATGTGGCTTCTGCTGCTTTTATTATAAACTTATATTATAAATGAGCATGTGCTATTGCTTCTCTCATGCGGATATTGTATACCCCTAGCTCATTGAATTTTCCCATTTTTCTCCAGCCTTATCCTCATTTTCCTCCTTCCAGGTTTCTTTCAGGAGACCCATTTCCTTGCAACCTGCAATCTACTTAATTAGTCAACCGTAGGCCTCCATAGCTGATGTTTTAAAACCTGGAGATCCTGTGTAATGAGTAACTGTTCTGAGCCAGTATCCAGCTCGGGCCTGTCCTTTGGAGGGGTGGAGAACTGAATGCATGTGGAAGGTTCAGCCTCAGCTAATTTACACCTTTCACAGTGTAGAAGAAGGCGCAACCTGGTTGAAGTAAGGCCACAGCTGTATGGGCAACTGCTGACATTTTTGATCCTAATCATTCTTTCTGTGCATGAAAGTAAGAGTCAAATCCAAGATGGAGAAGAAAAGTGGCCTCACTGAGTCCTCTCTGTTTCCTCCTCCTCCTCCTCCTCCTCCTCCTCCTCTTACCCCTCTCCATACAAAAAGAAAAGCAACTCTTTTCTAGCAGCTCCACAAATGAAGAAAATAATCTGATGGCTGAACTCATTCCTTTGTGGGCTACAGTTTTGTAATTAGTACATTGAGGGAAAATCATGCATTATTCACATAAAACTAAAATATTGTTGGTCCAGGAGGTACCTGAGTGCATTCAAAAGCCCTTCAACGGTGTCTGGTGGCTGTTCTCTTAAAACCTTTATGCAACCCTTCATCTGTGAAAAAAAGAAATGGGCAAGAAAAAAAGTCTGAATTTGGGTGCATGCAAAATATCCAAAGGTAAGGAATGAAAGCAATGAATTCTGTCAGAATGGTTTATTTCCCTTTCATTTTTTCCCCCAAAAGAACACCTCCTGTGCCAGTCTCACATGGCAGGAAAAGACTCTGCCCATCATAGCCAGAGAACCTTGCTGCCTTCAAATCAAGTCTTTGTAAAATAGGCCTCTCTCAGCAAATTATGCTTCAATTATGCCAAGCATCATAGACGTTTTCTAACAAGATAACAATTTTTATAAATATAATTACATTATCTCTCTGAATCCATGCTTCAAAGTCTTCACATAGTTTTATAAGCAGTTTAGTGCTATTAAGCAGAGCTGAAACTCCATAAGTGATTTCAACCATACTTTTATCTAGGGAACACCACCTTCACTATCTTCCAGACTTCTTATATCTTCAACTCCTGCAATAGGGGGTTTACCCACCGCTTTAACTTCTCAATATTGCTTTGAGGAGTTAAAATGGTGGGGACTGAGGCAGTGGTGGGATTCAAATACGTGAACAACCGGTTCTCTGTGTGGCTACCACTTCCAGAAGTCCATTCTGGGCCTGGGCAACAAAAAACTAGCTACCGGTTCTACTGAACCGGTGCGGACCGGCTAAATCCCACCACTGGGCAGAGGCATAGAAAGAAAAGTGTGACACAGAACACTTCGTCGTCGCACTGGGAAATGCTCATTTTCTCCCCTGCCCCCATGTCTCCCCTTGATAAACTCTTTTCAAAATGCTGGTGGTAAACTGAACCTTAAATTTATAGCACAGCCTTAGGCTCTAGTAGCTGATGGCTCCTCTTATCGGATAGGGTGGGAGATCTTCCACCCTGAGGAGAGGAAAAAGCTGCATCAGCCACTATTGTAGCAAGTGACAAACTATTATCTTTATTAGCTGCTGAAGTTAGAACTGAAAGAACTAACAACTTGCCTCCCATTCCCAAAAAGCACACAGAATGCTCTACCAGGAAAAAAAGTAGAACTACCATATATTTCCTGAAGGTATCAACTCTGTCTCATGGACCAATCCATTTTATAGGCAGCATAAGACATTTAATTGAGGCAGGTTATTTACTTTTCCCTCTTTATCCCCATTTCTTTCTGAGATGCATCATTTTAAATTGTAAATCTGTGAACAGAGATTGCCACTGAGGGGCCCTGCACTAGTTCTGCAATTCTTTTAACCCAAGGCATTTAAACATATTTCTGGTACAGCTTGGCTTGGCTGGGTTTCACAGCTGCTTTAAATGTTATTATTTGCTATTATTTTAATTTTATTATCGCACAAAGTTTTATACTCAGTAATTAATTATTGAAAAGGTTAACATTTGGATAGGGTGCAGATTGTCTTCAGGAAATTATTGAAAATTATTTTCCCATGATATGGAATACTAGGAAATTTCCGATTTTCTACTCCTTCTTGGCATGTTAACACAACGTTCAATTGTGTTTTATTCAGTCCTGTGTAAACTGCTTTGAAATTCTTGCAATCCTATATGTCAGTGTAGAGATTTTAATCAAGTATTTTTAAGAGCAAATACCCAGTATAAAGATTTTTGTCTTTGCCATACAGGTATGTATGTTTTAAACCACTGCTGAACCCAACGTAATTGCCTTTTTCCACAAGACCTGCGAATTTTTGCTAGGAATAAGAAAACCTTGCCAGTCATTATTCTTACATCTATTTTTGAAGCCTTTGAGAAAGCTCCCACTGGATGAACGTGGTCGTAGAGAATAATTACCCCAACCATTACTCTCATGCAGAACATGAGGGTTTCTTCACTGGTGAATCTACTTCTATATTCTCTGAAACATAAGATTTTTTTTTTAAAAAAAGGTATTAATGTCAGTATTTTTGAAATAAATATTATTTCAATTCATTTCCATCTTTCAAATTAAAAATGCTTTTTCAATGCCATGTAGAAAGAATTATTCAAGAGAGAGTATCAATGACTGCAAAGATTAGCACTAGCAGGCACTGGCAAAATAGAAGACTTTGTGTATGTATATATTTGTGTATGTATATATATGTATGTATATATACATACACAAATATATACATATACATATGTATGTATATGTACATAAGTATGTATACATATGTATATATATGTATGTATATATACATATACATACATATGTATGTATATGTATGTGTATATATATATATGACATATATATATATATATATTCACATACATACATACATACATACATACATACATACATACATTACATATATACATAAATATATACATACATACATATATTATATATATAAAGAGCGAGGGAGAAAAGCAAAGAAGACAGAACTCAGAATGAACACAAAGATTTATTTCCTTGCCAATGGACATTTATTTCACATTGTTGATCCCGATTCTACTGCTAAAAGGAAGTGGGAGGGTTTGGTTCAGTCATAAAATGACCCTAAGACACGAATAAAAATACAAGTGGATTGATAACCAACAGATGCATACAGACAGGCACAAACAAAATGTCATTGCCCTTGATTTGCTAAAGTTCACACAACATTGTCTTTTAGAGCATTGTGCTGCATCCTGAAATCATGATACATTTAAAATGGAGAGCTGTGGAGGAGGATTAGTCTCTCGTTGTCACTTTGGTGTTGCAGAATCAGTGTAATAGAACATTAATATGCTCCGATAAGTCAGGAAGCTCTTCCAGCAGTGGGAAAAGTAACACCTTCACAGAAAACTGATACCTTCAGCTGGTGGGAGGATATAGAGGAACACCATGAAACAGATTTGTTGTTTGAAGCGAAGTAGGGATGGGGAAGAGATAGCAAACTGGCCATTTGTTGCAATATCTATGGGGCGGGGGAATTATTCTTTTTTGGCATCTGATGCAAGACTAAAAGGTATGCTACTGACCTCCAGGATGGTTTACTTGTATCTTTTAACATTAAACAAATCTTTTAAAAGTTATCTTAGGTATTCAGAACTTTCTGAGGAAATTATATTAAAACCTGGCATAGAAAACTCATACGTCAGAAAAATGAAGGGAATATGTAGCAATGTGTAATTTTAATGTTGAATTCTTTAGGCTACAAAATTGCTATTTTGTGATGATTTTAAGAAACCTGCACATCAGCAATTTTAAAATTACTTGATCAATAAAAATGAAGCATCTGTGAAAAAATATTTTAATACTATTCCGTTTAAAAATATTTTTGCTTTAAACACAATTCTACTACTAAAACCTATTTGAAAAGTAGAGGCAAAAGAAGGACGAATAGGTAGGTAGCTGGATGAAGAAGAAAAGTAATTGTTGGCATTTTCCAAATATAGTATTTCAGCATGGATGATAGGAGCAAGGTTCACTGAGTTTCCCTGACAGAATGACCAATCTTCAAACATCAAAGACTATAAAAATACACAATTGGCTAAAAGGATAAGTCATGTGGAAAGTGACCTGCTTTAAAGATCTTTAACCTTTTCATCCTGCCATATCATTTTCCACTCTCCCCAACTAAATATTGAGACTTTTTTTTTTTTAAAAAAAAATAAGGATAACAAGCCAGTATAATTCACTTAAGGATTAATTTGTAACACAACATTGCCTGTTTCAATATTCAAAAATATTTTTTAAATGCTTTAAAGTTTTCCTATAAGAAAAAGCACACTCAGAATAGTAACGTATAAAATACAAAATAAAGACATGTCTATTAGAACCAGCGTCAGAAGCAATATAACTTTGGAAATCATTTGATTGGAAGGAAACAGAAGAAAGAAAACATTCCACTTGATAAACTACCCATATATACCCATGTGAACAGAATGCAAGTTTCCACAGCCCTTTAATCTGTTTTCAGCAGGGCTTTCCTTATGTTATGATAGCCTCGGCCGCAGACAGTCCCTGTCTGACCTTGTTGGGACCTACAAACTAACAGGGGGCAAGGCCTACTTATTCCTTGTATGGGAGACTGCCAGGGCCACCTCAGAGGAAGGCAAAAGCAAGCCACTTCTACAAGGTGGCCAAGAAAACTACACTGCTGTGTTCATGAAGTCACCCCAAAAAATGGAACTCTGTTTGTAGGAGAGTGGATTTCACCAACTTAAAGTAAAAAAGTAGATAGATAAGTGATGACAGGTTCAATGGGCTAGGAATTTCCCAGAGGAGAACAAAAAAAGACCTTGGCATAACTCATCCTTCAACTCCAAAAGAGATCAAACTAGAACTAGACATTAGAAATGTCTGACATACACAGATTATCTCTAACTACAGCTAATGAAATCACATATTTTCTGTTTAGTTCTGCATTGAGGATTTCAAAGACAGGCCATGTCTGCAAGTGGCAGCCTTATACATAAGCTGCATCTAAGTGACACAGCAAGCCAGAATTCACAGAGGTGCTGGGTCCGAGATGAATGATCAGCATACTAGCCTACATTATTACTTCAATGGCTCCTGCTTAGTCTTCTGACAGAAAACCATGGACAGCTCCTACTGTGAGGTTTTTAACACAGAAAGGAGTAGGCAACCTGAGGCATCTGAGGGCTGCTTGTCTCCTCAAACTCCTTTTCTAAAGCCATCAGAGCCTCCTATAACACAACTGCTGAAAATCATCAGTTCCTTTATTTTCAGGTAGGAAAAAGTCATGCAAGCCCTCCAGAAAAATCACAGCTGTCCTACCTTTGTGTGTGATTCATTCCTACTCACTTTGCCTAGCTGCCCAAACCACTGTGACTTTTAGCCCCTCAAACATGATCAACCCCCCCCCCCCAGACAGGGTGTGCTTGAACAAGGGCCTTTGTCTTTCTTCACTGTGGTTCAGATTGCAAAATACATCACATACAGATAGTGCGGGTTAGAGCTGTGGGGTGATTCATATTTGACAGAGAAAAGATGATGGATGGTAAGATTGACAGACAAAAGAGATGAGTGAGGAAAAGATAAAGCACCTGCGGGCAACTCATTAACAAGGTTATGCATTTTCTTAGCCACAGTACAGACTCCATCAAAGTTTTACAAGTAGTCCTTGACTTAACAACTGGTTGTTTAGGGACCAGTTGGAGGTACTTATGACCCAACTCCAAAGTTCCCATGGTTCTGTGACCACATTTTAGGCACTCTGCAACCAACCGACATTTAAGGCCATTTGTAGCATCCCCTGGTCATGTGACAGCGAGTTAGGACATTTTTGCTGAAAACCAGTTTAGTTTACGTCCGGTTTTCGATGAAATCCCCAATAGCAATCAATGGATTTTGCTAAACGACTGCAGATTCACCTAACTCTGGTGATTCACTTAACAACCATCACAAAAAAGATCATAAAATCATGCTGGTCATGTGATGACCCCCTTTATGACCCCTCATGACTTTCACCCACAATGGGCAGGCTGCATTATGGTCGTCAGTCAAGGACTAGAGATAGTCCTCGACTTACAACCACAATTGAGCCCAAAATTTATGTTGTTAAGTGAGACACGTTAAGTGAGTTTTGCCCCATTTTACAACCTTTCTTGCCACAGTTGTTAAGTGAACACTGCAGCTGATACGTTAGTAGCACAGTTGTTTAAGTGAGCCTGGCTTCCCCCTTGACTTCGCTTGTCCAAAGTCACAAAAGGGATCACATGACAGGTCATAAGCGTGAACCAGTTGCCATGATCATATGGTCATGGCGATGCTACAAAGCTTGTAACTGTGAAAAATGGTCATAACTCACTTTTTTTCAATGCTGTTGTAACTTTGAACAGTCACTAAATGAACTGTTGTAAGTCCAGGACTACCTGTACCTGCATCTGGTTTAAGGTAGTGTCGAAAGGTGCTTCCAAACGCCTTTCCCTTTCAGATCTGGATTGTGGTGCAGCTATCATTAGTGACTTGCTTAACTGATGCTGCTGCTGCTGCTGAGGGAAGAGTCAGTGGGAGCTATTGGAGCACTGCCACAAGCAAGCTGCTCATTCACTGCTAAGCCAGAACCTTGGCAAAAGACAACTTGATTTCTTTTTTAATCATTTCCTTATTATAGCAACATTGATACATAAGTCCATTGCTCATAACTTACGGTGTTTCCAGCATGACTTTACATACACTGGCCATCGTACTTAGACAATCTGTTGTGTTCTCAATTGGCAACGTTTTATTCTACAAAAGTTAAAACAAGCCAACAAAAGAGGTCAGTTAGGTCAGTCTAGACTTCTGATTTGATTTTGAGCTTTCTGAAAGGATTAAAACTTTTGCTCACTTCTACAACAAAATGGGTGGTAGCATTACTCAGCGTTTTCAGAACCGGTGTAGCTTCTGCGTAGAACAGTGACATTCTGTTAGCCATCTCATTGTTCACTTCACTCTCAATGTCAAGCTGTTTAAAACATGAGAGAAGATTAGTGTTATTTTCTTTTTGCTCTTTTAGAAAAGCGATTTCCCCCCTATTGCTATACAGAAATATATGAGAAGTTCCAGCTCATATTCAAAGCCTAACATATTCCAAGCCTTGTAACCAAGACTCCAAAATTATGCAATCTTTGTGTCCTAAGGAAAGCTGGAATTCTGGTTTTTAAAACACTATTCCTCCTTTACGGAAATAACTTTTGAGGGGATATTCAAAAGCATTGTATAACACTAGGAAAGTTTTGTGTTTAAAGAAAAACTTAAAATACCATTACTATTTTTCATTGTTATGAACATGTATGGTAACTCTTAACATTAACATATAGCTTTTCCATGCCAATCAGATTATCTAGATCAGCATTCAGAAAAAAACACCCATCCCCAGTGCATCAATACACAGAAGGATGTTGGATGTGTTTTGATCCTTGGGAACAAAAGAGTAGCAGCACAATAGAAGTCTAAAGACAGAATCTCAAAATGTAAAAAATGATTGACACCATGCAAAGAAAAACATTTCATGATTTTAAAAAACACAACATATTTATAAAGTTATAAGCACGCCATCAAAAATATTATCTCCTGATGTCAGCTGTATCTTTTTTTCAAAAGTGTCCCATGCTATAACACTTTTAAACAAAGGCAAAACCAAAACTCTTCGATTTAACCTACATAAATGTAAATGAAATCTGCCTTTAGCATAACTACAAAAATTACACTTGAATGAATGTGGCAAGGAGGAAAGGTAGTATAGTAGTATAACCTGGTTGGTTTAGATCAGTGATGGCGAATCTTTTAAGACCGAGTGCCCAAACTGCAACCCAAAACCCAATTATGCATCGTCGGGTGCCGGGTGGGTGTGGCCCATTGGCTGGGTGTGGCCAATTGGAAGGGTGTGGCTCATTGGGTGAGCGTGGCTGCGATGGTAACGGCAGACTGGGTGGGACTAAAAAATTCAATCAATCAATTCCAACTTTGCAAGATCTTTTTTTTTCCTGCGAGAAGTTGAAATTAACTGATTGATTGAACCTTTTTTTTTTTTTTGCACACGGCAGCAGAGGCCTAAAGAGACCTGTGTCATAGGTTTGCCACCACTGGTTTAGATAATACTCAGAAAAATAGGCCAAGTTGATTGCCTAACTTAGTATGAAGTAATTTCCTATTGTTGTTACTAATTGTCTCATAAATGAAACCCCCAATTCTGGAAAGAAACATTTTACTCACATGCATGTTGTTTATTCTGTTGCGACTTAATGTCCTTCTATAATAGCTAAAGTCGTTTTGAATTGCTGGGTTTCTCATCTGAAAGAACAAAAGGAAAATTAACTTCAATGTTCTTACTGAAAACTGACAATTAAAATAGTCTGCATTGGCTAAGTATTGCTTTCTCCTTACTAACCTTAAGTTCATCAAAGCGGAGAGTAAAATGCAAGATCTCTGCAAACTGCTTTGCTAGGGCTTGCTCTCGCTCTAAGTGTTGAGTTGGTGTGTAGGGTGGACAAGTCAGGGATTCTAATAAGCTCTGCAATGCTTTTTCTGGAAAAAAAAATCCAAAATATTCAGTTTTGTTTCATTTTTTTTTAAAGGAATCTTCCTGCTGCTTTAGCAAAGTGATCACTTAAACTCTCCAAAAATGTTCAATTGCATAACTGAAGACCACTTGGAGGGGAAACAGCAAAACACTTTAAATGTGAAATTATTTGCGATTTACAGAAATAAGTTATACAACTGTTAGAAGAAAGGATAAGCTTTAATCTTTACTTTTCACTATTCACCATTTACTGTTCAGTAAGGCATATGGAGTCTTATAGCAGCACAGTGCAAGGTTTCAACCCAACTCTTAGATCAAATCTGGAAGCGGATGCTTGTTGTGAATTCAACCATTAACAGGGTCTGGGATAGGGGAAGGGAAAGAGGGGAAAAAAGACCCTTGGCATAATTACATGGGACTGCAATTCAAACAGGTAGAAAAAATATATATTAGCATTCTTCCTGCTTGAATTTGATATAGGTAATCCTTGACTTAATAACCACAATTGGGACCAGAATTTTTGTCATTAAGTCAGCACAGTCATAATGCAACTCACCACATGACCAGACTCAATTTTATGATCATTTTACTATAGTTATTAAACAAATCACCACGGCTATTAAATGAATCATGTGGTCATCAAGCGAAACCAGCTTCCGCAATTGAATTCTTTGTTAAAAACATGGCTGGGGAAGTTACAAATTGCAATCATGTGACTGCAAAATGCTGCAATTAGTCACAAATGTGAGCTGGCTGCCATACGCCCAAACTGCAATCACATGACCACAGGGATGGTGCACAGTCATACATGCAAGGACAGATCATAAATCACTTTTTCCAAGGCTGATGTAACTTTGAACCATTGTTAAATGAATGGCTGTAAGTCAATGCCTGTCTATAAAAATGACATTGATTATGGCCAGTCCACAACTAATTAATCTGATGGAGTAGAATTTAGAAAGCTAATGCTAGTCTTCAAATACCACAGGTGTACTTCTTAAGTTTTTGTTGCAGCAAATCAACATGGCTCTTCTTTTGCATGTTTTATCTTTCTGGACTTTTTAATAGGTATGAATAATTGGCAGCATGCAATTCACAAGCTTTTTTTTTTTTTTTTTTTAAGAAACCTTTTTAAAGTTTTCATGGTCCTCAGAAGTTCTGCTTCTAAAGTCTGGTAACAAACTTGACCAGTAATAGTTTTTTGACAACAAACAAAACCAAGTAAATTGTCCACTCTATGAAAAGAGCAGAATTTTCCCTTTTCTAAAACCCAATAAGAACCACATTTCAAACTTGAAAAATTCAGACCACCTTGTGTGATATTGTCATTCTATCCTTGCAATTCCAGCAGTTAAAAAACGACAAGAAGCTTAACTTTTGTTAGCCTCCAAGTTATCTAACGCTGCTCTAACTACATTCTTCTAAGAATTCATGCACACAATGTTCAGAGGTGCCTGCATCTAAGGGGAGGGACAAGTGTAATAGGACAGTGGAAAATGTCCAGTAATGTTCACAAAAGTTCATGAGCTTGCCAGTTCTTGAGAGCATAAAAGACAGAATCTCACCTAGTCTGAGAGAAAATTCATAGAACCGCTTTAACCTCACAACCAGAGGGCAGACTGAATTCCATGCTCTTTCCTGCAGCTGAATATCATTCGGGTTTTGTATTGCCTGGAAAACAGTAATCACTTTGAAAATCTTCATTTATTTAATGTCACAATGCCCCTCCAGTCCTCCTCATGCACATAAATGAATGAGCAGTCAGAATGAAAGCTAATTCTAATACAATATGGTATTTGTCTTTCTCTCAAAGAATTTTGTGTGTCCCCTTTCTTTCTTTCCTTTCTTTCTTTCTTTCTTTCTTTCTTTCTTTCTTTCTTTCTTTCTTTCTTTCTTTCTTTCTTTCTTTCTTTTTAATCCCAGAAGCTTTTGACAAGAAATCTCTTCCAACTTTTGGCAAGAGTAGTTTGCCCCTATTTCAGGAATTAATTGGATGGACGAGAGGAAATTTGTTGGGGTGGGGAGAGAGTGGGAGTATCCTTCAACAGAACATGTATATATGCATACATACATATGTACACTGATTTATTAGGGTGTACAATATTTTACTGAAAGATCTTAATTCTGACAGATTTCTTACTTTTTAAATATCATTTCTCTTTCTCCCCTCTCTCTAGTTCTTGGCATAAATAAAATAAAAATTTAAACAACGCCTGTTTAGCGTCAGGGGAATAAGAGTCTGATTTATTACCCCCCTCCATATCTATGGAGATTCTCAGTCATCCAGGTCATGGTTGTCCCAAAGGTGCTTTTTCAAAAGACAACTGGACTTCCTTCGTTTTGCTTGAAGATGTTTTGATTCTCATCCAAGAAACACAGATCAGTTGTTGATCTGGCAATTATGCCAGAAACCTTTTGGCCAATATTCACTACTCAGATCCCATTATTATCGAGGTTAATAACAAATAATAACCTTAGGAACAAAGTCTTATCTGATGCAAATCTATACACCTGTACCTACCCTCAGATTGAACAACTAGTTTTTAATTAAGAATAGCAAAGTGCAACACTCTTAAGTTTAAATTAGATTATCGTTTTGATAATTTCACACAATAATTGGCTGCAGTGATAGAGTTTTGTTTTTTTTTTTATTTCCCAAAAGGAGATATCTCTGCAAATGTCTCTTAAAATGTGAACACAGTAGCTCTTAGTTTTAAATTTTCAGTTTTGCATATTATATTCCAAGAAATCCTGGCTGCATTGTTTCAATACAAAAAAAATTACATAAATCACACACTTGTGTTTAATTTCCTTCTTCAGAATATATTGTTTTCCTATAGTATAATTGAACGCACATCTCTAATCTCTTGTCCAGCTCCTTTGTAAGACTGCAGGTCTGAAAGCATACTTTCTGAGTCCTGTAAAACAGCGTTGACTTGGTTCCATATTTCCCTTTCTCCATCAGTTGGCTGAGCATCTAGACAAAACATAAAAAGCAAGTATTGGAAAAAGTGGACATCTGTAATCAGGACAATCATATGAAGCATAAGTACTGTCAACTAAAATTCATTGTTTAGCTGATCCACAGTTTACTACTTTCATATAGTTCTGGTGACTATCCATTTTTAGATCCATTTTATTAAATCATAACCAGGATTATAATTAGGGCTTCTTGTCACTCATACATACAAATAGGAAGAACTATGTGCAATTTTTAAAATTGTAATTGATTAACCAAACTTGACATCAAAGGCACCCCTGGACTAAAATCAGCCTAGGTAGGGAAGATGAACTTTTAATTTTTTAATGCAGCTTTATATGCATCTCCAGGAATGTGACAGATATTCAGCGAGTAAAAGTTATCCCGGTTTCCAGTCTAAATAATAGTTCAATGTTGTGTCTTGTCCATTATTTACTCTTTTTATTTCTACTTGTTTAACATAAAATGCATTCTGTAGCAAAATTATTGCCCCATAACATCAGATTTAGAAGAAAGTTATTAAATTAAGAATATATGGTAGAATAATCTTTTTTTTTAAAGAATTAAAAACTAACAATTTCTTTTGAGCTCCAAAAGTCCACCCACAACAGGGGCATTTTCAGGAGATTGGCAATAATACCTAGAAGCCTCGTCTCCCTCAATATTTAATTTAAACCAGGCATTTGCTTGATATGTGACATGCTGTGTATCGTTTTCTTTTCTGGAAATATTATAGGAATGACAGCAGTGCTGGGAATAAGTCTTTATGAAGAATCCAGGTGCTAACCCCAGTACAATCTGAACCAAAAACATTTCTGTAGGCACAAATATTTATAATAAACTTGTTGGGTTGTTTATCCTGCTATAGTGAGATTAAATGAATGAAAGCTTTATTATGGTTTTAGATCAGAGTACTAAAATACACTTGATATAAAGCACAGATTAATTGGTACTAAGATGGTAACCAACTGAAAGAGAGAAAGAAAGGGACCATATTAAACTCATCTCAGTCAGAAGAACTGGGAAAAGAGCAGCTCTAATCCCTGGATGCAAAGAGAGGGAGTGTGACTTTGTCCACCCTTCTTGTGGTGAGTGATGGTAGCAGAGGGCAGCCTTCTCTATCCATAGAATGTTCTAAATCATAGGATGGAAGGTGGGTTTGTCTAGATAAAAGCTCTACAATGCACAGTGAGGTACTCCAGAAGTCCCTCCGGAAGTCATAACTGTACCCCCTGAAGGATTAGTTCATCATTGGCCATATAAAACTGGATATGTGAGCCACTATTTTTAGAAACTAAATATATCACCAAATGAAGGTGTAGATAAACACAGAATCAGTTCATCCAGACCCAGGAAAGCCAATCTTTGGGATTGATTCTACTATAAAAAATATATATATATCCTGAATTCTGCACACATCATCTGGAAAAAAAACTCTTCTCCCATCCTTCATGTAATTATCTTCTAACAGAAGAGACCACACTGTCTGCATGTGCCTGTTGACTGAGCATAATAATTAGTTTTCTGTTCACCCAGTGTTGCCTCATCCAGCAGTAGCATGTATTTATTTAACAAGTCTTAAGAGACCACTCTGAGAATTGTAGGAAGCATTTCCAAAGAATCAATTTCCTCCTGTATCATGTGCATTAAATTAAAATTAAAGTGCAGTTGTGAAATCTAATAGTACACATCTTACGAGAGAAATGCTTGCTGCAAAAGTTCAGAATGCACTGTGCAAGTTATTAATTAGGTAGGAACAATGTCTAAAAATCTTTACTTTTAACAATATTGGCTGCAGTTAAATACACTCAAGGTGCAAAGGAAAAAACTTTTATGAGAAAAAAAAGTCAAATCTTGTACTTCTTCATCACCCACAGTTCCTTTGGGTAGATGAATGGTTATATGTGTAATCAGTGCTTTTTTATAAAAAAAAAAAAAAAAAAAAAAGTGCCGGAACTTACACACATCATACAACCCGCCTTGCCTACCCTACAAGATTCCATCCCAAAAAGGTGCTGGAACTCCGTTCTGGGCGTTCTATGAGAAAAAAAGCCCTGTGTGTAATAAATAAATCTGGAGGATATAAACTGAACTAAGATTTTGCATTTACCACTTTAACATCTTCTACTCATTCTGCTATGACAAGTCAAGTGAGGCACTGTGGATAATGGCTAGAATGGATATAAAACCTTTCCATTGTTTCTGGAAAGTTTGACTCAGCCATTATAGAAAGTAAGGTCCCTATCCCCAGCTTTTAGAAGTAGACCCAGAATTGTATTTTTATTAGCAATCCTCTTTTATCCATGAAACCTGACAAGCTTTTAATATAAGCTCAATATACATAGATGCAAAGTTCAAATCCTTTTCATAGTAAAATTCACATGCCTCATATCTGAAATATCACGGATATATATTCACCATTTTTCATACAGTTTTCTATGGACTGGAAATTATGATGTAGAGAAGGCACTTTCATAACTAATCACTTCAAATTCATAAGTAATATGAATTTCTTAATATTATATGAGCTGAGGTGGCACAGTGGTTAGAATGCAGAACTGCAGGCTACTCCTGCTGACTCCCAGCTGCCAGCAGTTCGGTAGCCCAAGTCTCCCTGGCTCAAGGTGGATTCAGCCTTCCATCCTTCCGAGGTCGGTAAAATGAGGACCCAGATTGTTGGAGGCAATAGGCTGACTCTGTAAACCAGTGTTTCTCAACCTTGACAATTTTAAGGCATGTGGACTTCAACTCCCAGAATTCCACAGCCAGCAATGCTGGCTGTGGAATTCTGGGAGTTGAAGTCCACATGCCTTAAAATTGTCAAGGTTGAGAAACACTGCTGTAAACCATTTAGAGAGGGCTGTAAAGCACTAAAACTTCCTAACAGTGAGGACAATTAACCAGTGAAACAGCTTGCCTTCAGAAATCGTGGGCGCTCCATCACTGGAGATGTTTAAGAAGAGGCTAGACCAGGGGTAGGCAACCTCGGCTCTTTTATGACTCGTGGACTTCAACTCCCAGAATTCCTGAGCCAGCCATGCTGAGGGAAAAGGGAGAGGTTTCCAAGCTGAGCCATGCTGGCTCAGGAATTCTGGGAGTTGAAGTCCACGATTCATAAAAGAGCCAAGGTTGCCTAGCCCTGGGCTAGACAGTCACTTGTCTGAAATGGTATAGGTTCTCCTGCTCAAGCAGCGGGCCGGACTAGAAGACCTCCAAGGTCTTCTCCAGCTCTATTCTATTCTAAGACTATGAAGCAGTATATAAGTCTAAATGCTATTGCTATATTACAATGGTATAATATTACACAATTTGGAGAACTGTACTATGTTCTTGCATATTGACTCATGCTATTTTGGATGACAACTTCTGTCATAAAACATATGTACAGTTCTTTTTCTTCCTAATTTCATAGTGAAGACTCTGTAAAGTTTTCCCTGTTCAGTCATGTCTGACTCTAGGGCATGGTGCTCATCTCCATTTCTTGGTTGACGGAACCAGCACTGTCCACAAATATTTTCTGTGGTCATGTGGCCTGGATGCTGTATACCAAAGGGACACGGAAGGCTGCTACCTTCCCACCAAAGGGGGAAGCATTTGCATGGTTTCAAATTGCTAGGCGGGCAAGAGCTGGGGCAAGGAACGGGAGCTCACCCCATTGCACAGTGTTTGGGTCTTGAACGTGGGCTGTTAGCTCTCCAGTTGACAAGCTCAGCATCTTTAACTGCAGAGGGTCCGGCTATGCACTGTGTTATAATTTGCTAAATTTCAAATGGAAACAGTAACATACAATAGTTCCTGTCTGTCATTTCAGCTATAATATCAGTTTTGAAATGTTTTATAGAAGACACAATGTGAAGCCAGTCACATGTTGGTAAATAGCTTCTAATTTCCCTGATTGCTGGGCTGATGGTATTAGAAATCCAACAACATCTGTCAGTCAACAGTTTCTCATTTCTGAGTTGTACTATTAATAAGAGAATATAAATAACCTTTATATTAGTTGCACAGAAATAGATTTTCTGTGATGATTCCATATAAAATATAATACCAATGTTCTTCACCCAAAAATGTTAATTTTAGCTTTCATTTTTAATTTTTTCTTTTCTTTCTTTTTTTTTTTTTTTTGAAAGATCACTGCATATCATGTACTATTCTGTGACTCTGGTATGATTTGCTTCTTTAATTTTGTAACATTATCTGATAATAGAAATATATTACACGAAGCAGCAGATTTGAAAGTTTAATGTAGCACGGATATTAATTTTGAATATGAATTTAAAAACCAGAATCTCTGCATTTCATACAAGTACTCATGTAAATAATTTTCAGGACTCTTGAGAAAATTCAAGCCTAAATAAATTATTGATTACATTGAAAAGGAAGTTTCTATGAGGCCTGAAAGTGATAAAATACCCCTCAGCAGAACTTCCAATCAAATTCTTATTATGAAATATGACTCCTTGTATTGAGAGGCAACATACACTTGTCCTATTGTTTTAAAAATAAGGTATTAAATATCACACACAGATAGAATGCAACTGAGTGGATAAAAGGGATTTAGTGCAGTAGTCGATCCCTTTCAAGAGAAAACTCAAGCTACATGCAAACGGCAAGCTGTAGTACACTGCAAGATGTGGTAAAAAAATTAATGTGTAAAAGTATATTATTTCACCTGCTTTGATACAAAGCTACAGGAAATATAGTCAAGTATTTGCTCAATTGGTATATTTTATTTTATTTATATTGATAATAGAGATTCTCATATGGGCTGCCCTTAGTCTATGTGTGGTCCTCAACAGATTTCCATGCAAACAATGGAGTTCCCTCCTAATAGTAATCAATTAGGCATTAAGAATTTTTCATCGATAATTGTTATAGTTTAGCAGAAAGGAAGATTCCCTCCCCCTCTGTGTAATTTAGAGTTCCTGACAGTCAGGCAGCATACAGGTAATCCTTGACTTACGATCACAATTTGGATCAGAATTTTTCATTGTTATGCAAGATGTTAAGTGGGTCGTGCCTGATTTTGCAACTTTTTTTTTTGCCATGGTTGCTAAGCGAATCATGGCAGTTAAGTCAGAGGTAGGGAACCTTGGCTCTTTTATGACCATGCTGGCTCAGGAATTTTGGGAGTCGAAGTCCACGAGTCATAAAAGAGCCAAGGTTGCCTACCCCGGTCGTAAGTGAACCATGTGGTTGTTAAATGAATCCAGCTTCCCCTTACTGACTTTGCTTGGGAAGACTGAAAGTCTGGTAATCTTGCCATTTGTAGCTTGCAATTATCCCGTGACCCTGGGATGCTGTAATCATCAGAAATACAGGCTGGTTACCGACTGCCCAAATTTTGATCATGTGACCATGGGGGTGTTGCGACGGTCATAAGTGTAAGGACCAATTGCAAGTCACCTTTTTTCAGTGTCATTTTTAACTTTGAATAGTCACTAAACTAAGGTTTGTAAGTTGAGGACTATCTATACAAATTTAATAAATTAGTACATTTAAATAATTAATAAATTATTATTATGTGTGAATAGGGAAATGATTGTCTTATATTCACTGATAAGAACAGAAAAAGCTACTGGGAAAAAAAAAGAATGAACAAAAACATGATACTCATGAAGATTTGCCTGAAGTGAAGCTGTTGCTTGGCGTATAATACTTAATAGGGCTCTCTTTTGCTTCTACATACAGCTACCTCTTTATCTCTCTTTCTCCCCTTTTCTTCCCAGTGCAATTGGAATCCCATCTTCCCCTACTTTTTTTCATTGCTGTTTCTGCTGAAAGGGGAAAGAGGAGTGTATATGTGTGCAGGCATATGCACATGCATGTATACTGGGATAAGTAAGACTTATTTATATGTGTGTGCAAGAAAAATCCTACACGCAGATGGGTATCCACTATTTTTGTAAACGAGTATCTTATTTTATAGACAATTAATTTAATTAGTTTTAATCAATTCAATATATATATATTCTATTCCAGCCTAAACAAACTCCCTCAACTGGCAACATTAGATTGACAAAATAGAGAAGCATTAGACAGGATTTTGGTTGCTTACATTTAGTTATATTAGACCCTTTGAATTTGCCTGTTTCCTTTCATATATCATTCAGGTTTTGAAATAATATACCATAGAGGTTTAGTAATGTGCTTTTAGACACACCAATAGCACAAGAAACAAATTAATTTACTTGCAAGTTTATTTTGAATATAGCACAAGCCACTTATACTGATCAGTTTAGGATAGACTGGTGATTTTGAGGCTCTTTTTTTTTTTTTTAGTAAAGATACGACACTGTCAAAATTTTCATCTGTGAACCAAGAAGCACTAAATCCTCTTTCTATATAGGCTGTGGTCTTCATCCATGTTTTGAACCATTTTCAAAATGCAGGCTGCTGAACTAATCAGAATCTGTCACAAAATAAACCCCTGAGCCAAGTTCTTTTAGCTAATGCTCATGATCACGAGCAATTATTATTGGGATTTTGGATGAACTGAACAATGACTTTTCAGTATGAAAGAGGAGAACTCCAAGTGGCGTGAGCTAGAGTACTTGCATGGCTGATTAATATATATGCTATTTTATTAGACTTTTTAAGGTTTAAAAAAAACCCTCCAAAAATAATGCAGGCCAAACTTTGCTCACTTTCAAAGTCTAGGAAAAAAAGGGGGCCTTGATCAAAGTCTGTACAAGTGAGAACTTTTAAAAGATTTCCCATTTGTTTTCTGAAAAATAGAAAAGGAACAGAATAGGTAACCAGGAACAAAACTTGAAAACACTGTTATCTCTATTGCACTGCTCGAACATGTTTATCTGTCAAGGCAAATGAAGCTTAAACATTCCTAGGTCAGGGAAAACAACGTTCCAAGCTTTGAACTTACTTTCAAAATCCAGGAAAAAATGTGGGTAGTTTTCAATTTCTCTGGTAAGGACTTTAAGAAGATTACCCATACCAGCGAAACCTAGTGAATGCAACAAAATCATAAAGAGTTATATAGGCAAAAGCAGAAGCTGAGAAAAAATTAAGGGCTTGGCATGCACTGCTAGTTCAAACTGAAACAGGAACATTCAGACCGTTTAACCGAAGTAATTAACAATCAATGCTACAATATACGTATTGGGAATATTGACCAAATATGAAAAATATATTCAGAAACCATAACTGAGAGAAACATGGCACGAAGGCAGAATTTCCAATGGTGTGCACATTCTTTCCTGGTGTACAGGCAGTCCTCGAGTTAAAACAGGTTGCTTAGTGACCAAAGTTACAATGGCATTGAAAAAAAAGTGACTTATGACTGTTTTTCACACTTACAATCGGCGAGGCATCCCTATGGTCATGTGATCAAAATTTGGATGCTTGGCAACTGACTCATATTTAGGATGGCTAGGTCATATCATCCTCTTTTGACAAGCAAAGTCAATGGGGAAGCCGGATTCACTTAACAACCGGGTTACTAATTTAACAACTGCAGTGATTCGCTTAACAATTGTGGCGAGAAAATTGGTAAAATGGGACAAAAACTCACTTAACAAATGTCTCACTTAGCAACAGAAATTTAGGGCTCAATTGTGATTGTAAGTCGAGGACTACCTGTATTTGGACAAGCAGCATTTTGTAGGTTTTGACTGCTTTAACAAAAGCGAACGTTCAATCTTTGAATGCATCCTCATTTTAAAACTATTAATTTAATGTAAGGTCCTGCAAAAGGACACCCTTTCCTCTTTTTTCTTTTCTTTTCTGTGATTCATCCATTGTTCCAGAGCAAATTTCAGGAAGCATGCTGGAAGTTTCATATAGAAGCCAATCAATTTCTTTGGGAGACAGATACCACTGGACAGAAACTCAATATATTTATGATAAACATTAAAAAATCCCTGAGCTCTTATACGCATACAAAATATAGCTGAACATAATTTGAATTACTGGACTTGTTTATTTCTTAATTATTTTTCTATTCTGCAAACAAGACCCGATAGGTTTTCTTTAAGAATTACTATTGAATATTACTATTGAAGAATTACTATTGAATGTAAATAATTACTATTTAATTACAATTAGATAAAGAGACTGGGCCATTGTCAGGTCATAAGCGGCTTGCTTTGTTACATCTAGCAGTGTGGTAAAATTAGTTCTGTCTAAGAAACTTTGATTGATTTATTTGACAGAATGATCTTATCCCGAATTGGTTTTACACTTTATTATTTTGTTTACAGAAACTGAATGAACCTGATTTCAGTTTTAAAAAAACCCAATGACTCAGAAGTAGTATAATACTAATTCTCATATTATATATAGATAGATGAATACACTCTAATTCTCTGTTTTGAGATCTCCGAACAATACTGAGCAAGAATTCAGAACAATTCAGTATCTGAACAAAGCTATTGGTATAATTAATTTTAATATGTAACCATCCAAAACAAATTTACTCATTTCAATGACTTTCAAACATACTAAGGGTCCTGGATATATACTGATCTTACTCTAAAAGCAGGCATGTCAAATCTTTTCCATTATTAATATTTTGCATGCAATATATTAACAAATAAGAAGGAAGGAAGGAAGGAAGGAAGGAAGGAAGGAAGGAAGGAAGGAAGGAAGGAAGGAAGGAAGGAAGGAAGGAAGGAAGGAAGGGAGTCTGTATTGCAACATGGTGCAATACAGTTTTAAATTATAACTATATGATTATATAAACTTAACTCTGAATGCAGCAACACTTTTATATATCATGCACTGTACAAAACATAAGAATCATGCTTAAAGTGGATTTCAAATGTAGTACAATTAAGAACCACACATTTCCAACTTGAATTTAAAAGTACAACTTACCTCAATGAAAAAAAGGAAGTCACTAGTGTATTTTTGTCTTAAACCATTAACACCTAAACCCTTCTTCAAAAACACTTAATCTCAAAGCATCTTTATTAAAAACAAACAAGCTACCCGAGATTGGTAGTCATGTTGACTATATTATCTCCAATATCCGAGGTATCCGAATGCCAGTTGCTGAGGAACATGAGCAAACGTGGGCTCTCAAACGCTGGTTGACTTATCCTTGAAAGACAATGCCATGCTAAGTAAACAATTGTTATTGTAGGTCGAGGATTACCTGTGTGCATTTGTTTTCTTACTGAATTATCACTGTATTAATAATAATGTGGATTTTTTTACTTCACTGTTTTAAAAAAATGAATATTTCATGCCCCTCCTTTCACTATTATAAGCCTGAGTTTTCTCTGAATATAAGTCTTGGATTCTTTTTGCAAAGCCATAGCTTCCTAACCTAGATTGAGGAAAATCCTAGTTATTTGTCTATTAACAGACAAAAAGAAAACATTCACAAGAATGTAACTCCAAAAATCTACCCTATTTCTTAAAATGGTTAGTCGTGATCCTCAGGAAAGCTCGTAACTCGGAGGTGAAAACAATGTCCTACAATAACTGGTATTCTGAACTGCATGCTTTGTAATTTAAACTGCCATCTGTACTAGCACACTAACAAGTAACACATGGATGGAAATTAAAACATGGCTATTGACTCAGGGATACTTTGAAGCATTTAAATTATTAATTAAGTAATTGAAAAGGGTAAATTATTTTAAATTAAATTTTCCAGGCCTGTCACCTGGAGTTTCATCCCTACTGTTAAGTAAAATTTGCATATTTAATTTTTCAAAGGCGATACATTGAATAACAGGTACGATATTAAGCACTGAATAAGTCTATGCTAATTTTTGTAAGTTGAACTCTCACGCTATGGTGGTTCCAAGAAAAACATTCCCCATCTCATTAAATATAAACAATCCCTAGTGGGGATCATTGAGAGCTTTCAAATGACTCAGTTCAATGAAAAATTACAATTGAGAATTAAGTACCAAGGAAGAAAATGAATGAAATAAGTTTTAAATATTTCACAATGGCAATAGGAAATAACATAAGACTACCTCATGATGGGAATCTTACCTATATAAGAGAAAAAAAAGAGCTGGGCTGCACAAATTTAGAACTCTATAAGGAACCATTCAGCCCTCCAACCCATCCCAAAATTGATTAAATCATTTTCATGTAATCTTACATTTAGACTGAACAAATATTTGTTCTTGCCCTATCCCAGTTTTTGTCTGCCCTGCCTGCCTAACTACTACAGAAAAGTAGGGCATTTGCCTATCAACTAAAGTCTGTGTGGCTTAACACTAAAAGTTGTATAGTCCAGTGAAAAAAATATTTGTGCCTTAATATGTTAGTGGGGAAAAATGGCATCATTCTTTACTTATTAAGAAAAAGCGGAATACAAATCTACTACAGGTAGTCCTTGACTTATGACCATAAATGAGCCCAAAATTTATGTTGCTAGGTGAGACATTTGCTTTAAGTGAGTTTTGCCCCATTTTATGAGTTTTCTTGCCACAGTTATTAAGTGAACCATTGTACTTGTTAAGTTAGTAACCTGGTTGTTAAGTACATCTGGTTTTCCCATTGACTTTGCTTGTCAGAAAGTCGCAAAAGGTGATCACATGATCCCGGGACATTGCAATCGTCATAAATATGAACCAGTTGCCAAGCATCCGGATTTTGATCATGTGACCACGGGGATGCTGCAATGGTTGTAAGTGTGAAAAACAGTCATAAGTCATTTTTTCCAGTGCCAGTGTAACTTTGAACAGTCACTATAACAAATTGTAGTAAGTCGAGGACTACCGATATGTATACTTGCAAATAAATTACTTCTAAAACAATTTTGCCTCACTTTTACATTATTCCCACCACATGAACAATTCCACATCCTAACTAATGAAACTAATTCTCAGTTCCTGCTGCTTGGAGGGCCAGAGGCAGAGGCACAGGGTGGCAGGCACACGATTTGGCCCACCGGATGTGCCAGGCAGCCACGTGGCCATCTGCCCCACCCCAGCCATTGTGGCCGCAAAGACGGAATGTGGGATGGAGCAAGCACATCCGGCAGGCCAGATTACATGCCTCCCACTGCCCTGCGCCTCTGCTTCCTCCTGCTGTGGGTGCTGCCGCTGCGCCTACTGCTTGGAGGGTCGGCCTGGTGGTCGCAGCAGGCTATGGAGCCTGCAGACTGCAGCCAGACACCATTAGGGCCCTGCGCGCTCACTGCCTCCTATGTGCGTGCCGGAGGGGGGGGGTGGCTGGCTGGGATGGAATGAGCTGGGGCAATGGAAGCCGGTTCTTCGTCACCTCCAGGGCAGTCCCTTGGGCCTTGTGTTCGACATGTCTGATTTAATCCAATTGCCTATAAGTATGACATATTATGCAGATACTATTTCAGAATTACACTGTCATGCTCCATTTGGATGTCTGCCTGTGGGTGACAACAGAACAGCCAACACCCCTGATGTCTGATTACTATTTACTAGGAACAGGTCATGAAGTTTTGGAGTTCACCTGAGATAAAGTGGTCTGCGAGCAAATGGAATGTGGAATTAAATAGACCAAGAAGGGGGAATCCCAAGCAAGGGATGAGTTGTGTTGATGAACAAATCCATCACAGCTAAATATTTGTTGTTGTTGTTGTTAATTGCGAAGTCGTGTCCGACCCATCGCGACCCCATGGACAATGTTCCTCCAGGTCTTCCTGTCCTCTACCATCTTCTGGAGTCCATTTAAGTTCACACCTACTGCTTCAGTGACTCCATCCAGCCATCTCATTCTCTGTCGTCCCCTTCTTCTATTGCCCTCAATCTTTCCCAGCATTAGGCCCTTCTCCAGTGAGTCCTTCCTTCTCATTAGGTGGCCAAAGTATTTGAGTTTCAACTTCAGGATCTGGCCTTCTAAAGAGCAGTCGGGGTTGATCTCTTCTAGGACTGACCGGTTTGAACGCCTTGCAGTCCAAGGGACTCGCAGGAGTCTTCTCCAGCACCATAGTTCAAAGGCCTCAATTCTTTGGCGCTCAGCCTTTCTTATGGTCCAACTTTCACAGCCATACATTGCAAC